TATTCCTTTATTTGCATCCGAATTTTAATTATGCGAAAATTTACATACATGTAATATGAATAGTGTTAAATTGTTGCTAAATTGCTAATCTATGTATCTAAACTTGTACTATAAAGAAGACTTATTCCTGTTTTTTTTAATTATGAATAAAAATTTAAAAAACACTCAATAAGTAGCCCATGTGTTCTGCCAGATTACGTTCTACATCAATGCCAAATTTCGGCGAGATCCGTTGAGCCGTTCTGGAGATACCTTCAAAAAATATCCATCTAAACATTCGTATTTACAATATTAGTAAGATATGTTTCTGTTTCTAACTGGTAATTATCAACTAGTGTACCGATTTCGATTACATTCTTGTTCTAGGATAGTTATTTATAATTTAATCCGACAGATGGCGCTGACACCGACTTATGTTCAAAATTTTTGTTCATTTAATACAGTGTTTTCCGAAAGTAATTGACGTTTGCTACGTACCAACTTCGGATCCATTCGGGAATTCTTGTTTGTTTTATTAATAAAATTCATAGGAGGATCGTAGAAAGTAATAAAGAGATCTATGACATCATTGTAAACAGAATAGATGTAAAATAAACACATTTGTTCTCAATGAAAACGTGATCGACATTCCAAACAGTTGTTTGTTTACGAAAAAATATATGTTTTGTGTGTTGCGAATTGTAAAAATAGAGCATCGACATAATAATGTTTTCTTTTAGAAATAAAAGTTAAATAACTTTTTTGAAGACAGTACTAACAAATACAAAATTTGATTTGATAACCAATTATGAAATGTTTTCATTGTTTTTTTTTTAATAAAATAAAAGTCAAAAGTTCGATTCAAAAGTATTTTAATTTCTTTTACTAGGTGTAATAAAGATTTTTTTAATATTAATTTTTATAGTTAATTTTTTATCCACATCTAGTTTTTGTTTACAAACAATATTAGTTTTCAAAGGTGCATAATTAACAACGCGGCCTGTAGGTCGATGATTTATTAATTCGCAACGAGTTCCGCGCATGCGCAATGTTGTTACGTCTTGTGTTGTGTAGGGTGACCATATAGTAAAAGGTAACTATCTAGTTAAAATATAAGTCTTTATATTTAATGTTATAATAAATAATATTTGTTTTAAGCTATGTCAAGTTAAAAGATAAGATAAAAAGGACAAAAATATTGTAATGTTTGTTTTGTGAAAACAAGGACATACGAGAGAAACACGTATATAAGAAATTACATAAAACCAAATGAAACCATACTGTGATTATTGTTTTTATATTTAATACATAAACGCAATTGACTAATTCAACTTTGTGTCTCTGACTTTACATATTTCGGGATAATATAAAAATGTTTGAGGAACGTCCAAAATCATGGTATACGTAGTCTCATCAAGGCTTGCACTAGTTGTAGTTCATCGCTTCGACAGACGCGCGATTGTTAAAGTTTTTTTCACGAAACATATACATTGTATCTGTCGCAGTTATACCCTAATCGGTGTGTCCTGACTTTTTTTTTATTTTAGGAATTAATAAATCTATACTATATGCAATTTTTTATGGTTTGCTTGTTTGGTTTGGTTATGGGGCTAGCTAGCTTAATAACTGCGCTGGAATAGCCTTAGCTGCCTCTGCATGAGGGGAGCTGGCCACCTTCATCCACCTTATGTACTAGCTCTATGGTGTCTTATATAAGATTTCTATATACTTTTGTGTGGCAATAAAAGACAATTCTATTCTAAATTTATATTAACGCATTTTGTTAGTGGTTTTTAAATTGCACTAGGAATAGTCCTACAAAATTTGACAGCCTCATTTTTGGTTCACGGCCGTTAAGGCCTTGATCTTTTACTGGTAGATACAAAATTATTATTCATTTATAAACGTTATACGTAATAAGAGAAACTTGCGTCAAGTAGTCACATGATAGTTTCCTCATCAACTTTTAGTATATTGTAAAACATCCCAGAATATTTTGTAGGATCTCTTTTATATTTTTTTTATTTATTGTTTGACTTTTTTTTAATTGATTTAAAAAACAAACGAATGATGGAATGACGGGAATACGAACGAATAATTTAATATAGAAATTTATTAGAAAATAAGTAAAGAAGTTAACGATGATAGAACGATTTGTTTTTTATACAGGCCTACACATATGTACGAAAAACATATAACAATATGCTCTTTTAATTTTTATTTCCAAAATATATAAGTAATATTTTACTATAATTTCAGTAAAGATTTTTTTTATTATATTTTTCTTCCTTGAAAAATTATATTGCAATCCACGACTATGTGGTCGGATGTCCGTATCCTTAACCACTAAGACATTGGCACTACAATAATCACAACGAATACTACATTGAAGTTTCAGTCATGGTTACTAATTAATTTCAAAATTCTCTTATGTAAATTGTATGCATCTAGCAGTTAAATAGCAAACGATTACAGCACTTTATTAAGATGCTTTAGATGTCTATCAGAGATTTATTTTGTTTGTAATCCGTTTATTATTCGTAAGAATATATGCAACAGATTTTGTGACGCTTAGAAAGATTTTAATGGAGACGCTTAAATTTAGAAAAACATATTTTATTTTTTGATTATTATAAAAGCATCTGTAAAACGAGCTACCAGAGATTTATTGACCGTAATATGATTTTATTTGTTCCGGTGCTTTCCTTTGGAGATCCCGGGACCCTCGCAGTCGTACTTGAGGTTGGCCACCAAGGGGGTTTTAGTGACTAAGAATCTCACATAACCCTATCTTTCCCCCAAAAGGCTGGGATCTTACGAAGATTCGACCCCGATAAATATATATATATATATATATATATATATATTAAGATAACAACGTAATATAACCAGATTAAGACATTGTTACATATTAAAAACGAATATTTAATATGAATAATATTATACAAGTGTTCTTATTAAAAGAATAATTTATCAAAAATAGTATTTGATTCATGTATAATAGATGTAGAGTAGAACATAGCCTGGAAATAACATAGGCTACTAATTAATTTGTTTGTTGTAATTCCACGCAGATGGAGTCGCGGTCCACAGCTAGTATAATACGAGTATAATCTTTACTGCAAAATTTAAGGACCGACCACACGATATGCAAAATTGAAATTATATTACATGATCTGCAATAAATTAGAGTAGACTACCGATCTTTAATAATCAATAAAACTAGTATTGGTATTTATAAAATACAGACTAATATTTAAGATTACATACGGTGGTAGTACTGTTTAATTTTTCTGTACAAATCAAACACGTACTGTGCGTTTACATTACGTCATGACGTTTAGGATGTGGTGCATCGCACCGTAACCGCAACGCCAGTGTGGCATCTCTCTAACTATGAGTTCGTTAAACTGTTTTATCACACGAAGAAATAAAAAGTTTTTCATATTGGTAAGAACTACACATAAATTGGAGATATTATAAATGGTTCTGAAGCCTCACTTTTAAAGCTAAATCAAGGTAAATATGTAACAGTGACTTCGCTGTGACGCTTAACAAAGATATAAATAAATTATAATATTAACAGTCTGCATCTACTAAAAGATAAAATCATGCAATGCATTTGATTGTAATAATTATATTGGTGTAGAAAATTATCATATACTAAAAAACTGGGTTAATTTCTCTTGATAATCTTACGTAAAAAGCTAGCCACCGAGAATGCCATGTATTCAAGTGTTAAAATGAACACATACAAGTAGAAAAACCTGCATGAACATTACGACGGCTTAGAAAAAGATAAAGCTTTATTACTTTTATAATAAACGAGCTGTCGAATTAAAAAATATATAAGTAGCCTGTGTGTTTTTCCAGTCTTTGCTCTATACCTCTATGCCAAATTTCATCGTGATCCTTAAAGCCGTTTTGGAGATAAAACCTCCAGCCATCTATGCATCTAAACATTCGCATTTATAAGATTGAAGGACAAATTACGAAATGTCTCCAGCTGTTTGCGAGGCTATAAAAATTGCACGGATTATATTTTTATGATTAGAAATATCCATTAAGTAAATTATAGTCAATTGCCTTGGTAAGAAAAAGGCGAGCGAACGGTTAATTTTCTAACAAAATATAGGTTAGTACCACGGTAAGTAATTTTATTATCAATAAAATTATGTTGGCACAATCGTGACAATAGATTTATATGGTTTTTCGACATAACATTTTAATATATCACCAATTTAATATAGATAGAGATAAAAGGCAAATTATATATTTTGTTTTACTCTTGAACTCATCAATATCCCTAGTCTTATTACTAATACTATAAATGTTTCAATGGATGGATGTTTGTTAGATATCTACAAAAAACTGCATGGATTTCGCTAAAATTAGCATAAATGTAGCCCGGAAGAACACAAAAGGTACAAATTAAGTTTTTAATTCCGCGCAATCGGACAACGAGCGAGAGCTTATTTTACATAATAATGGTACAGATATTTACTCTTCCATACATCTCTATCAATCTTCATATATAATTTCATATGACCCTTAAACACGCTTAATTAAGAATCAGTATTATATTTTTATGAAGCCTCTCTACTGATCTTTAGTTAAACCAAAACATGTAACATATCCTCTATATAATTGTCACATTTATGATAAATATTTAAATTCATTACTTATAAATTCCCATAAAAATCTTATAATAAATAAAACATCGTAATGTTTTCTCACGTTACATCTAAGCTATGGTTACCATTTTATTAACATGACTTGTGAATAAGAGTTAATACATAGGAGAGGTTAATTAAATCGACAATTAGTTAATCTTACAAAATCGATACCCTATTAACCGAGTTACCCATCGTTCAAAATGAGCAAAAAATAATGTATAAACAACATATTGTGAACGCACACATCTATGTTGCTCGAAGCCGGCGAAAGTATGCAATGTTGGATCTGTGAAACGAAACTGGTGGTATAAAACTGGCCAACAAGCTGCAGCACAACACACAACGTAAGAACGTTCGCTGAACAACATTGCTAAGCGATCATGATAATTTTGGTTAGTATTCAAATATCCATTAAAAAAAACAATAAAAAATAATCTATTTATCATTAACTAGTGATGTTCTATTTCAGTTTTAATACATTTTAATTGCACTAATGACTAATAAGGATAATTTTAGCCTTCAAGTTTTATCACGTTTTAATTTTACTGTTACAGCGATCTTCCTTAATCTTGGCCGTGGCTATAAGCCTGGCCACGGCAGAGGAGAAGGCAGAAAAGGATAACAAGGCTGAACCAAAACCAGTAGAAGAAAGTAAGAAACAGGACAAGAGAGGTCTTTCTGACTTTGGATATGGCGGTGGTGACCACGGAAGTTTCGGCGGCGATTTCGGACATGGATATGGTGGCCACGATTTCGGAGGCGAAGGAGGTAGCTTCGGAGGTGACGGCGGCAGTTTCGGAGGTGAACACGGACATGAAACGCACGAGGAGAAAACAATCACAATCGTAAAGAAGGTACCGCTTCCGTACCCGGTCGAGAAACACATTCCCGTACCGGTAGAGAAACATGTACCAGTACCAGTAAAGGTACATGTACCTCAACCGTACCCAGTAGTGAAGACCGTGCACTTCCCCGTCAAGGAGTACATCAAAGTACCTGAATATATCAAGAAACCATACCCAGTGACGAAACACGTGCCCGTACCCGTCGAAGTTCACGTCGACAGGCCCGTCCCAGTGAAAGTATACGAACATGTGCCGTATCCCGTCGAGAAACACATCCCCGTGCCAGTAAAAGTACATGTGCCACACCCGTATCCAGTTGAAAAGGAAGTGCATTTCCCAGTGAAGGTCCCCGTCAAAGTATCTGTGCCTTACCCAGTTGAGAAAATCATCCACTACCCCGTGCATGTGCCAGTAGACCACCCCGTACCGGTTCATATTGAAAAACCCGTTCCCGTACACGTAGAAAAGCACGTGCCCTACCCCGTCGAAAAGAAAGTGCCTTACCCAGTAAAGGTGCACGTTGACAACCCTGTCCCAGTTCATGTTGAGAAGCCAGTGCCCTACCCGGTGAAAGTACCAGTGCCGGCGCCATACCCTGTTGAGAAGGTCATCCCGTACCCGGTAGAGAAGAAAGTGCCTATTCCAGTTAAAGTACCAGTCGATAGGCCCGTACCGGTTCACATCGAAAAGCACGTGCCATACCCGGTTGAGAAGCACGTTCCTTATCCGGTAAAGGTACCAGTACCAATTGTTCACCACGAGGAAAAGCACGAAGTTTCCTATGGAGGCCACGAGAGTTACGGAGGTCATGACTTCGGAAGTTCAGAGGGCTTCGGGGGACACTTCGGTAGCTCCGAGGGTGGGCACGAGTTCCACCATTAAGAACTGATCTCTATTTGTTTTTTTTATATTATTTGTAGCTTTAAATGTTGTTTTGTGTTTAATTTTGTTTAATGACTGTTTTATTTTATACGACTGAAATGCGCGTATGTTTATATGAATGATGTAAATAATGCCCGAAAGTATTAAATACAATATTATTTGTTAAAATATTTATGATTTGTTTAATTTGCAATTTAACATAACGAAAACGTATTGATAACACGAATTATTTAATTAATTTGAAATGAAGAACTCCATCCAAGTATTAACCTTTTCTAACAGATTTTATTAAATAGAGTACATGTTAAATGTAAAATTATAAACATTATATCTCATAAAACACATTGCTCTTTAACCTATGAAATAACAAACTTTAACTTGTCATCACTTAACGTAACTTGAAAAACTTATTTTATACTTAATCACGTTACGAAATCAAAATATTGCAATCGGTTACCTGTGTTGGGGTAATACTTTATCGTTGAGTAAGCGTGCAATAGATCAGTCAGTAATTGCAACTTGAGATGTTCTATTTTAGATACGTATATAAAATGTAATCATGTATTGAATCACCTTAATCAAAAAACCTACAACACTGTAATATTCATGAATATGTAGGTTAGCATTAAAAAGGGTTCCGTTTTTTCCTATGAGATACGGAACCCTAAAAATACTAAGATTAATTCCAAACAGAGGTAACATAAGCTTTAATCTATTTAATTTTACGACATATAAATTTATTAATATCTCTTTGTTCTATTTACAAAGCGCACTACATTATGTTTAAAGTTGCAAATCATGTTTTTCTTACCTTATATACGGGATGTTAGCTGGAATGTGGTACTTGGAGCCAGGATCGAAATCCATTTCAGAACGAAGAACTGGCGGCTTAACACCTTGATATTGCTCCCTGCAGAAATTATTACATATTACTAAATTTATCAACAAAATAAAAAAGATGTGTTTAAACACTTTTCCTGCTTCAATTAATTATATTCAATTGTTCAAATTTTAATAATTTCAACCACATTCATTCATGTTCTTATAGTCGTGGTAAGTTTTTATAGATTTTTCCCATTGGACCTATTGATTATTAGGTCGAACGGTCCAACGGGAAACAACCATTTTTATCACTGCCATAAATGATGAAATATACATTAGTCTTACGCGCCTACTTTATAACATGTAACACACCAATAAAAGCCTATTTGCTATTATTATGTCATCAACAGTAACATCTAAAAAAGTTAATGATATGGATGAGGAGCCCGCAGTGAATCGGGTCAGTTAGCCAATATTTACATGAATGTTACACGTTACATAAACTAATTGTAACATGAGAGAATCGAATTAGTTATTATGTTTATATACATTTTAAGTAAAAGAAAAACAGCTAAACATAAAAAATAAAATGGATGGACACAAAAATACATAATATCCGACATTCAATGGTTGATTTGCAAAATACATATCGCTATCCCTCTCATTATCTTTGACAAAACAGAGATAAAAATACCTTTAAATACCAAATAGTAACCAACAATTAGTAAGGTCAGCAAACAATTGAAGAGCGTACAAAAAATATCCACGAATTTCTTTATGAACACAAATATTGTGTCTTCAAATCATCTATGTTTAAATGTATTGCCCAAGCGATGCCCTATCTGTAACTTCTAGAACATAATAGTCAAATTAAGTAACTGTGCTCATGCTTACTGACCTAGAATAGTTAGCGATTATTTCCCAGAGCAGCGGAGCGTAAGTATTATGACATGTTACACATAGCGGCAAACTTATGTTACATTTGGAGATACATGTGACATGTCACACATTTTAATTGAATAATGTAACATTATGTTATTTTATTTTTTCTTACTAAAGCTTACACTAACTATTAGTATTGGGTAATTTAATAGACATGTCTTTAGTGTTTGATATAAAAATGTTCATAAGAAGTAATCTGTCATGTTTTTTCATGTGGTACATATTACTTATATAAATGGATATGTTTGTATGGATTTATGGATGGGTGGGGTTTGTTTGAAGGTATCACCAGAACGGCTGAACGAATCTCGATGAAATTTGATATACATTTAGAACATAGTTTGGAAGAACACATAAGCTACTATTTATTTTTTAATTCCGCGCGGACGGAGTGTCGTGCGACAGCTAGTTGTAAATAAAAAATGTTCCTAAGAAGTCAAAAGATTTCTTCATGTGGTATATAGTGCATAAAACAGCAAAACTACTTTGAAATCAAATTACCAACTTCACATAAGAAATTTTTTTTATATCCCATTCAATTTTACCATATTGTTGCTCTACACCAGTGGTTCCCAAACTTATTTTGTCTACTGCCCATTTTGAGAGTAAATATTTTTTTAGCGCCCCCATATTTTCACATATTTAAAAACCACTATAACTTCAAATTAAATTAATTAATTATTGTGACCTATATATCTATATTAACTCAGAATTCTAAACGAAACTTTTACTATAACCCGCAACTTGAGACATACAGCGCCCACAAGGGGGCGTTATCGCCCACTTTGGGAGAGACTGCCCTACACGAAGAAATCTTATTATATAAATAATTACTGTTATCAATGAAACATATCAAAATATTTACACATAAATAGAACTACATTCTATAAAAAGAGACAACAAAATGCTTCCATGAAAACTTTATTTCCTGTTGTCTATAGAGAGAAAAGTTCAGACCATATAAAGAAATTCACAAGGCTGAATTCGTAACGGTTGCGTAATACATTTTCCGGACGACTTAGAAAAAAAAAACAAGTTAATTAAACTCCGGTGAGCGTGAGAATGATTGACTGGTTAACTTTGATGACATATTAGATCGCAACTTAATTATATTTCTTCATGGGCTGATAACACTTTTTTTAAGATCTTTTAAAGATGGAGCTGATTATTTTGGGACAGTGTAATCATACTAATATTATAAATGTGAATGTTTGGATGGATGGACGTTTGTTTTAAGGTACTTCCAAAAGGTCTGAACGGATCTCAGTGAAATTTGGCATACAAATAGAACATTATCTGGAAGAACACATCGCCTACTAATTATGTTATTTTTAAACTGCGCGGACGGAGTCGGGGGTGACAACTAGTAACCTTTATATTTCTTTCATAACTTTAACAAAGTGTTTGTGTGTTGTTTTTCAGTTTGACTCTTTAATCTACGTAAGTAGTTAATGATTCAACAAACCTAAGTCTCCACCAATGACAATTGTATTGTTCCTTCCTGATGTCACCAGTGAACACATCCCAGCGCCACTTATCCATCACCAGAGCGAAGGGTAAGAAGGCCAGCTTATCCATAGCCTGGGTAAACAGATAGTTGATGTCGTGCGCCGTGTCATCAATGGACTTCTGCACCAGACCCAGCGTCTGCAGGTGACGGGGAGAGGCAACTGAGAGGGCGATTGTCTCACCGATAGCTTCGTGGAAACCTGTACGAATAATTATGTATTAAAAATCACAGTTTGAGTTTTAGATTTTTAAATGATAACTGGAGAGGAAGATTAACCTTCAATTATGAAGTTTTAGATTGATCATTGCGGTATTAAAATTTATTTTAACAAGCAAACTGTAAATCAAAAGTAAAGCGAGCAAAGTTTTTTTTTTATTAAAATTAAAAATAAAAAATATTAAAGTTAAAAACTAAATTATCTACTATAATTTAGTTTTTAACTACATTGTTATATATTACTATAGTTTAATAGTTGCGATACTTGTTTGTTTGCTCATTATAGATATAATATTGTTATAAGTGAAGACTTGTCATTGGCTCTCAGTTGTCTAGTCTATAGTTAATAAGATTATTATAGCTGTAAGTTTTCCATGTTGTAAATAAATAAAAAAAATCGCTGTTGTACCAACAATATTTTTTCTTATTTAAAGCAGTGTGAGCCAGATTGTGCTAAGTTAATCATTTATTGTCATTCCGTTCCGGTGTTCACACGGCTTTAATACTAATTATTGTATTGTTTCACAAACATTTGTGGAAGTCGGTCGAGATGTTTACATGATTTTATTGTTGTGTTAAGAAAAAGATCTCCCAGAAAAGATGGAAAGCAACCTTTTGTTTGGGAAAAACAAAGGATTAAATTATCAGTCAAAAAATTTGGCATTGATCAAACGCTCATTACACGTATAAAGGCGGGTTTCTGAGAATAAAATCCCGGTATGAAACATATTGTTATATCTGGTCATAGATACTAAGGAAAGAAAAAGAAGGATAACGATATGTTTTATTACAAGATTTTGAGCTCAGAAACCAACTATAAAAACTTGTTAGAATGGTTACAGTTAAACGCGCATTCAATAGAGCGAATAAAATGTTTATCTCGATAAAGCTTTATTCAATAAACACGAACGCGTTGTGAGAGAAAGCGTGCACGCGGAAGTGATCCCCGTCAGGTCTGACTGTAGTCGTACCGGAAACAAGCACCACTGGACCACGAGTACGTTTCCTTGAACATTTTACTTAGAAAAACCATGACATAATTATAAAATGTCATAAATAGTGGATAAAAAGTAAATAAGATGAATTTAGGATCTTTGGAAAACGTTATCTACTTCTTGTTTAGCTATCGCCAGCGACTCCGTTCGTGGGGAATTTAAAAAAACTTATTTTTTTTTATAACAGAAGGGGGCAAATGAGCCCACCTAATTAGTAGCATATGCGTTCTTTCAGACTATGTTCTATATGTATGCCAAATTTCCAATTCAAATAAATAAAGGCATTTATAATATTAGTAAAATTGCACATTTAGAATACTGGGTTCAATTTCCGATTTATTGACACAAAGCGAACAGATAATCTATTAACTACGTAACTCATAAATTGATTTAAATGAATCCATAATTAATTTAAAATATAAATAAATTTGTTAATAAAACAGATTTATTCAAAACTATTATTTTATTAATAATAAAACGGAAGTATTATTATGTAAATGATTTAGATATTTGATAGTCGGAGTACATAAAACATTTTATATAAATGTTATGTACCGGCTTCCTTCTAACAGTTTCCTTTGTATCAGCGAATAGCTAGCGTAAATAATGGAAATAAAGGCTTCATAGTAACGCTAAGCGTGTGAAATATATTACATTAAAGCAATAAAAACCAAATATTTAAATATGTATTTAATAATTAAATACAATATATTATTAAAAAGTATCCCTTTAGGCAATATTCCAAAGAAGCTGTTAGCGTCACCCTTTTGAATAGCTAAACGTATTCTTTGTCCGACGTAATAATAATAAAAACGTCTTGATAGACAGACGGACAGACAACAAAATGATACTATAAGGGTTCCGTTTTTTCCTTTCGAGGTACGGAACCCTAATAATGTTTAAATATATATTTATTATTAGTATAAATTAAACAAGACTATCACAAAATAACAACCTGTAATATTTACTAGAAATGCGGTTAGCTATTAATTAAGTAGTTTATAAACAGTGTAAGAAAAATTACATGAATAATTTCACGCACATATCTGTCTAGGTCAGTAAATATTTGTTTCTAAAACAAACATAGATGAATAAAACATTAGAAGATGCAACTGAAAGCGAAAGAATTGCGCTATACAAAGATATACAAAGATAGGAATCGCGGACAAGCAGCGCTGGCTGCGAACTTGACCTCCTTGTCTAGTGGAGTGGATCACAGAGAAAAAAGTAATAAACATAGAGGTAAATACACTAGATAAGACTGGTGTAGTTTGCAGAATACTTTTGATTTTTTAGATAGTAGTAAAATAAAAATAAAAACACTAATTAAATTAATATGTACTTTTAAAATTAAAAATGTAAATTATAAATTGAATAATTAATTTATTGAATACGTAAAATATCATTTATTAAAGTAATAAGAAATATTTCGTTCAATAAAATAGTCAGGTGTAGTACATATCTTATTTGAATATAATTATTAAAAAAAAATAAAAATTGAAGTACCACATCCATTCATTACTATTCTTTGTCATTAAGCGAACGCTCGAGATGTGCGTAGGTTGCACAACATGTTGTAGATTTTCTTATAATTTTAAATATACAATTACGGAGTTCCCTTAGTAATAATTTAACGACTCTAAGAGTGGCAGTGCGAAATTAAGCTCTTAAGGGTTAAATTAAGTAATAAGTATAGTTAAGATGTCAGTGGAATTGTTACAAATAAAGTTATCGGACTTTCCAAGTTACCACGATTTGTAAGTCATGTCTAACTGTATGTTGGCACGCGTTCTATTCTACATTTCACAACGAGCCGAGAGTCAGTGTCGAATTTACTAGTAATTATGTAAATGTTGTACGTAACGTTTTATGCAATTGCACATGACAACGCTATAACCATAGTTATGTTTAACCAAGAGATAAACCACCAGAGTAAAAAGAGTGAGAGTAAGCTTTAACACTATTGGAAATTGGTAATTCTGAGGCATATTTGGTTCACTTTTATCTGAAATTCTAATTAGGAATGTATTCAATAATCCCTAATTGTTTTATGGGTTATCATCATCAGCTCACTACGCCTCCACTGAGGGGCTCGGGGTGACTAGGCTATAGTCAACTACGCTGGCCAAGTGCGGGTTGGTTGACTTCACACATATCTTTGAATCTCTTCTCAGATATGTGCAGGTTGCATCACGATGTTTTTCTTCACCGTAAGAACTCAGTATATGGTTGATATAAAGAAATTATTTTAATTTTGCAGTAAGTTTCTGAATTCAGATGAAACATTTTGAGAATTTTATTTTTTTTATAACAGAAGGGGCAAACGAACAGCGGGAACACCGAGGTGTTCAACGACGCCCATGGACATCAGCAATACCAGAGGAACCGCAGATGCGTTGCCGGTCTTTGAGATAGTGATAAGCTCGCTTCTTGAATTTCGATCTAAAATCGAGTGAATTTGAGAACTATTATAAATTCTAGTACTTGAAGCTTACATCAAGTAATAAGCTTTATTCTGTCTGTATCCCCAGTTTCTTCCATTAAAAGACTAATCATGAATACTTCCCTTAAACCAATGTAAAACCACCGCTAGATCAGTAAGATAATGCGCACGCGCACACCATTCCTTAATATATAAGAACGTTGTGACGCAACATGTTGCATGTCAGAAATGTATCAAAATTGTTTTACACAACACGCAGCTATAACCTTTCCTCATGATGTGTTTCAACATTACAATTGAATAATCAATAAAATGATTTTATATAAAAGACTGAATACCATTTAGATTTCCAATCAAGCTTGTTCAAAACAGTTAAAGTTTCGGTATTGTATTATTTAGGTACCATATACCAATATGTTTTTTACGGTGAATGATATGTTTCTAGCTAGGATAGCTTTTTCACCTTAAAATACTTTTTGTCCATTTTATCTTTCCTTTGTAAATAAAATCATATCTTAAAGATAATGGAATTTGAAAAACAAAAACAGTTTCAAATACTTTTAATAACTAACAGTTATCTATAACGTCATGCATTAACTGTGGGTTTCTGAGACCAATATATCTGTATAAACATAAACAGAGATTTTGGTCTCCGAAACCCACTGTTTTGTAAACCATTGTCTAACATAAACATTGACGTTTATTCTATTTTTATATACTTTTTACGCTAGTTTTAAATATGTGCTACATTTGTTCTCAAAGATGTCTCTTCGTCATGTTTCAACATAACATAAATAAGCCTCTTGCACAATGTTTAGTAGTTATAAACATAACGCATTTCTGTGTAAATTACGTTACTAGGTTAACATTGCTATATGCAGTCTCTTTGTAATTGAATAGCAATTATTTCGCTTTGTAAGTGACAGCTTTATAGATTTGCCATTAGAATTTTATTTCACAAATTACTTTCATAGTCGTAATCTAGAATATTCACTGTTTTGATTACGAACTGAACAAGCAATTAACAACCGCAATACGTTGTTGTTCGCCTATCGTGGAGTTACTAACTGCAACTGCAGATTGCACTATGGTATTGACATGGCCGATAAGGACAAAAAATCCCAAATAAAAAAAATGATTAAAACAACTGCAGATCGTATTTTTTCGAATATAATTTATATTTCAGAATTAATTTTTCAGACGATATCATCTTTATACACGTAAAATATTGTTTTATTATAATTAAATGTCTCATCGTTGGTTTCTGAGACCTAAATGTCTGTAAAAACCATGACATCCTTGTCATATTTGATCAAACAAAGATAACAATATGTTTTAACGGTGATTTTTGTCTCAGAAATCAACAGTTAAACGTCTGTCTAACTGTGAAATAAGTATAAGTAAATTAAACGATTTAGTCTATAAAAATAATTATGTTAATGTAGCAAATTAATGAAACATTGTAGTCTTGAAATACGCGACTGACGAGTCATGTTGACTGATTTTAACGCGCTGTTTCATGTTCTAAACTGAAGTGACTCTCACGGAAATGTAATGACGAGATTCGTCAATTTGATATCAATTTCTAATATAAAATATATTGCTGACAAATGATGCAACATTAGAATAAGTCCTTTAAGGTATACGAATAATTTAGTCTAATAAATAATTTATATTTCACACTAGCACTCTCCCGCGATTTCGTTAGCGGAGAAACTTAAAATAAATTCCAGCTTGTTACCTTCACGCGACGGACGGACAACAAAGTGATCCTATAAGTGTTCCGTTTTTTTCCTATGAGGTAAGAAGCCCTAAAAATTATCCTAAAATATGGCTACTTGCATCAGCTTCCTTCTCGTCAAGGACCCGTTAAAATTGGTGCAGTTATTCCGGAGATTAACCGGAATTAAGTAGCATATAATTATCTCGATATTACATAGAGATATTCCAATTTTATTAAGTTGTATATGAATGAATCCAAATAAGTGTAACTCAATAACATTTGCAATGTCACCTAATTTAATATGTAACAAAAGTAAACCTCAAACAGATAAATTCAAAGCACCTTTAGTGTTATTTAATAAATATTTATAGGCTTGCATCCTTTGATTATTGGAAAATGGACTAGACAGGGCTGCTGTTGTACTAAGTAAATTCTGCCACTGTTCGCAAGAGGTAAAGTAAAAATGATAACCACGCATGTCCATATCTTGATAACTTGTATGTAAAATTGACTTTAAAACGCATATTGACTCCAAAATTTAAACACACAAGATGAATACACAAACAATTAAGTTTAGATGTTATTTTTCGTCTTCATTTTTGACAGAGAATTAGTGCGCTTGGTAAGTCCTGTCTCTTAAAAGTCAAAGTTTTCATCTAACTGCAAGGCAAGGTGCTTTTACTAATTCAATTATTGTGACAATATCGGCAAAGTAATTCAGTAGCGAGTGAGTGTGTGTTAGTGACGTATGTACATTATATTGTCTGAAACACAATGTTCATTCCAAATACAAAATGGTTAGTGATTCTTACATGTCTGGTAGGTGGTGCTAAATATGGTAAGTTAAATACACCATTAAAACAAATTAAAAAAAATATTCAATTTAATATCAATACACAGTAAGTTAATTCTCATTTCATTTATAATCGAACAAAATTAACGTTCGTTATTAATTCGTAACTTACAATTAAGTAAAACACGGAATATTCTTGACTTTGTCTAAAATCCATTGCATTAAAATTTAATGAATGTTGGACGAGATTTTTAGCAATAAAAGTCAAGCAAAGTTTAAATAACATCGCATTATAAAAATTAGATCGAAAAATAGTAAAATTATGAGGATTATCAATTGGTTACTTTCTTAAATGAAACCAAAACATCAAATTGATTTCCGCATTCTTTTAAATTTTTTAAATATTTTCTACAAGTGTCTAAACCGGTTGGTTTATAAATACTTTTATAAATTATGTAAAGATTACATAAATATATTGATTAGGTAAGTAATTAAAGTATATAAAAGGAAACTCATTAAGAATTTTACGAGTATGTATGTGGGTCAGACGCAGCTGGGAGAAACCTTACAACTCGCTGTAATTGGATTACCGCACCTGAACTTGGTTTAAATTAACCTTAGGGGACAATAATAAACATATGATTAACATATTTCGTTAACTAGGGAATTTAGAATATATATTTAACACAGACAATATAATTATCAGCACCGAAAAAGCTTAGTTTGAATAGGTTAATTAATTTAGTGCATATACCTTTTGAGCGTCGGTAGCTCAAGGGTTAAGCAGCTAGTTAAGCAATCTGCAGGTCCTGGGTTCGAATCCCGGCATGTACCAATGTGTTTTCCTATTACCGATTTACATATGTAGATGTATCCGACGTTCTTATGGTGAAGGAAAACATCGTAATGCAACCTGCCCATATCTGAGAAGAGATTCAAAGATATGTTTGGAGTCACCCAACATGCACTGGGCCAGCATGTTTAACAATGACCTTATCACCCCTGACTTAGGGTAGGCTCGGAGCCCCTCGATAGTGAGCTCCGAGCCCCTCTATAGTGAGCTGATAATGACCATAGGTTCTGAATATTTAATATTATGCTGTAGAAAATTCACACTTTAGAAACATGTTTTTTTTATCCGAGTCTAGTAAATGTTTGTTCAATTTTCAGCGTATTCGATATTCTGCTACGACTGTAACAGCGCGTTCGACCCTCGTTGCGGCGAGGAGTTCGACCCTTTCAGCCTGGGCGTGGTTAACTGCTCGCTCAAGGACCCGCTTGAGCACATACCACCCGTCGAGTCCAAATTCTGCCGCTCCATTAAAATGGAAAGTCAGTATACAACACATTAATCGTATTTACGGGACAAGATTTTCCTCGCATATTTTAGTTATGTCTCTTAGTATATTAAGAAATCTTGTAGCCCAAAAGGCTTGACCTATTTTGACGTTACCATTGAAAACTTATCATTCATTGAAGTAGCATAGTTCAGCCCTAAATTCGGCTTAAACTGCCCATCTGCCGCATACGTATACCTTAATTTGTCATAGAAATTAATCGCTGATTCTTCCAACCAAATAATCTCTGTATATTGCAGTATACGGTAAAGTCCGCGTCGTCCGAGGCTGTGGTTTCCTAACAGAAGAGAACGAGAAGATAGGTGACCCTCCCTGCAGACGACAGACTGGCACTGGCGACTTGTTCGTGACTTATTGCACCTGCGATACTGATTTATGTAACAAAGCTGCTTTGAATGGTGGCGCTAGTGTTCTCGCTCTGATGTTACTTAGTCTGTTTTTGGTGTGTTGATTAAATTAATTCCATCTATTATTGTTATTAATTTGTGTGTGAACGTGTTTAGGAATCCTACAATCTTATATAACTTGATCTTATAAAGACTTATGTCTTCTAAGTCTTGAGTGTATTTGTTGTCATATTCAAGTATTAGCCTCCGAACACTTGTCTACTAGCACTGACCTGGATTAGCTCCGTCGCGGAAGACCTTCGGTTGGTTCCTGTAGGCAAGGAAATACTCGACGTGCGCCATCTCGTGGTGTGCGGTGATCAAGTCCTTCATATCTGGATGAGTGCACATCTTGATACTGGAAATAAGACATCGAATTGCTTTAGCAAAAAATATTTTGCTTAAAAAAACGCTGCTACTTTTTTTACAAGCAAATGTATGGCCAATTAATTAAGTTTGTCTGTAATTAACTTGTCTGATTTGGACGAGTGAGGTGTTCATTCGTATTCTTCGTAGCTTTATAACTACAATCATAGTATTTAATTTATTGATTTAAAATGTTCCCCTCGAGACGAGTTGAACCACAAAACCTTGCGAATGTAGTGGAAACAGGATATGCGGCTAGGCTCAGTGGAAATTAGGTCTATCTATTCCTGTGATAGGACACTTACCGGTAGTCATGTCTGTTACAAAAGTCCCATGCGGAGGGCTGGCAATGCACGTGGCGGTCGACAGGCTGCTCAAGCACGCTGAGCGCCCAGAAATCCGGCGGCATCGCTGACATGTTCATTGAAACGAAGAACTCCTCTGCCAGCTGGAAGATCGTGAGTGGAGTGTAGCCCTGGAAGAAACATCAGAGTTAAAATATGACAATACTTATACCAATCACATGTAATGACATATACCAAATTGTTAACAATCGATCCCAAAGAATGCCATGTTTATTTTGAATGATATTAAGATTGTACCTTGTAACTGTTTTTAAATATTTATATACATTTTAAACCCTTTAAGTGTTAATAGATATTATTATTTCTTACAATTCAAAGGTTTGTACCTGTTGAACCATTTCCTTTGTGACATCGACTAAGTTCTTCCCAGGATAAGGCAGGGTGTAGGGCACAATCCCAGACCAGCTCTGTCCCCACATATCTCCTAGGACATGAGCAGGTATTGGCGCTGACCTGGAGATCCTCTCGGGGCCGAAGGCTTCGCGGAGACGACGACGGACGTATGCATGGAGTAACTCGTACAGTGGCTTAATCTGAAAGATTAAAAAGCTAGATAGTTTAAGGGTATTGGTCGATAATCTATAGTAAAATACAATAATGTAATACAAGACTTTAAATGTAATTTATTAATTGCAATGAAAAGTGATATTTTACCTGTTCCCAAACTTCTTCGACTTCCTGTCTCATGTTTACCGTCTCGTAAGGGAACATCCAATAAGCAGAAGCGTCGGTGAAATCTGAAACAGAACAAATTCATAAAAATAATTGTCTTTTTTAAGAAATAATAAACTTATGCTTTTCCATTTGCAAGCTCATAAATTGTTAAGTTTGCTATTTATTTTCCACAGGCGCTAAATAAACTTACTATTCAACCTTGCAGCCTGATTTGTTAGATCAACGAGTTGCTCATACAAATCACGTATCCTCCTGCCCGTGTTCCTTCTCCACTCGGTCCATACATGCTGTAACTCATCCCAGTCGCGGGAATGCGACATAATCTCCTGTAACTGCGGTTGCAGATGCAAGCCGCACTTAAAGGGCTCATTGTACGCGCAGATCTCTGCTGTGTTGTACACCGCCAACATGTCGTTGATTATGCGGTTGTACTGGAAACATAAATTGCATGTTAACTAAAATTGTACTCGATTCTACTACGAGCGGTCTAAAATTGATGTTTGGCTTAAATAGCTTTCATTTATATATCTAACAAATATATTTATTTATCTACAGAACCTGACAGAGCACGTGAATTATGAAGTCAAACACATGAAAAAGTCTAGCATATTTAATGCGTCACAGGTCCTATTTTTCTTTCTATAATTTAAGCCAAAATATAGATTTCTACAGTATAACTGTTAAAGCTTATTTAGAAGTTATTACTTACTCGATCTAGCTGGTCCGGGGGCAACGCAGCTGCTCCGATGGTAGAGAGCAGTTGCAGTTGTCGGTATGTGCCGAAGTCCCGGATGCTATCTCGCGGAATCTGTTTAGCAGCCTCCCAAAGCCCGCGCTGGAACAACGTGTACCGCTGCTGCGCATCCAACTGGAACAAGGAACGAAACAACTTTATATTAGATGTCTATAATATTGTCTTTTATACTAATAATAATAATTATTAGAAATATAATACTTATGCATTGATAATAAGGTGCTAAGCTAAAGTTATATGTTAAAATTTGTGATCTTTTTGTCCCTCACTAATCAACAATCTTTAATAATCATGCTGTCCTTATCCCACTCATGTAGGGTTAACATGCAAAGTTTTATTTATGTCACCTATCACACGTATCACTCCATCTTCCTAATCAAAAAATCGTTAACAATTGAAAACAAATTATTCCAAAAATACTAAGCCTTTTGCGACCAGTACTTCTTCACTTAATAATAAAAAAAAAATCTCAAATTATCATTTACTATAAAAACCGTAACAAAAAAGCAATGTACACCTTGATCGGATGCGATAACAAAAGTGTGTCTTTTCAATAGACGACAAAAAGTGTTCCAGTTAAAGTGCTTTTGTGATAGAACGTTGGTCCAGTTTATGGTAACACGGCCACGGTCAATGGTGACATGCAAAGGTGACATGGAATGACGAATATGAAGTGACAAGGATACCTGCTAAGTGCTTTCGTATGCTATTAGAGAAAGCCTTTTAAGGTGGTCAAGTTATTTGCATAAGACGTACTACAGGATGCTGTTTATTTTAGTAAATACCAAGCGGAACATAAGAACAGAACTATATATCTCAACGTGAACTTAAGCTTTATTTAATTGAACTTTTCCTTTAAACATGAAGATAGAACTGTTATTCGAAATATGATAGACGCGATCAAGGAATATAACATTTTATTAGAAAGCAATAAGTACAGTTTTTACCAGGGTAAGTTACCCAGTAATAATTCAACGGAATTTCAAATCGGAATCAGCAAAGTTCACTGTGATTATTTAAAACCAACATAAATACAATTTTTTTTATCCATGACATGACTCATGTAACTACGTAAAATTCTGAGTAATCACAATTAAGGCATTGTGTTAAAAAAACTATAAAAACGCCTTAACTTCATTGTCTACGGCGGCCATCTTGACACTGATGTCATATAATAGTCATCTAGAACTTAATAACCGTATATAATACTCTGATTTATTGGAACAGAGAAAAATATATGACTAGTTTACAACTGTAATAAAAACCTTCGAAACAAAAAGGTAAGGTAGGTAAATCACAGATAACTTGAATTAATAATTTTATTACTTAGAAATGCAATATAAACTATTAAACTAGGTATATAAAATAAGGGTGAATTACAATGACCAGAAATTATCAGAAAGTTTTGATGGAAAATGGATGAGTTCATTATCTCCAACACAAATATTCAAATGTCGGTACGTTATATTTTGTTAAATGGTAACATTGATTTATGTACTAACTGTCGCCTGCGAATCCGTCCGCGCAATAAAAAATAAATTAGTATCCTATATGTTCTTCCAGACTACGTTCTACGTCTATGCCTTATTTCAGCGAGATCCGTACGGACGTTTTGGAGATACCTCCATCTAGCCAAATATTAGTGTTTATATTATTTGTAACATTTATACGGTCATAATTAATATAAATCACTTCACGTCTAACATCAGCTTTCCTACGTCCCCACTGAGGGACTCGCAGCCTATGTTAGGTGTGACTAGACCATAGTCAACCACGCTGGCCCACTGCGGCCTGTCAGGCGTATTTTCGAATTTCTTCACAGATATGTGCAGGTTGCATCACGATGTTTACCTTCATTTTAATAATTCATTTTACTAATTTAAAATAACGATATACATAATATAAACATTAACGTCAAAATATTATGAAACAAAAGATGTTTAACAATAGGTTTTTATGTTCATACTTATTTACTTGTCGGAAGAGGGATGTACTTATATTGTCTATATGAATATTTTTAAATATAATATATTTTGACTTCATATCTTAATATAGCTATGAACAATCGTAATAAAAAGTGTCGGGCCTTTCTTAAATTTGAATAATTCAATAATTAAAAGACGGAAAATGTTTGTTGAGAGATGAATTATATAAAAAATTAAATGTTTAAATTATATAGAAATATTTACATTATATTTTAATTAAATATTATTAAAGGTCATTGTTCAGCGAAAATAAAAAGCAACAAAACAACTAAAATAAAAACATCCTTATAATTATTAAATTAATTTAATTATCTTCATAAAAAAATCAAGATAAAGACACAAAAAATCAAAGTATCCGGTCAAAATGTTCCAAAAATATTTTCTTCACAATATTTTAATTGTACTTAAATTCACACGTTTTTACAAAGTTTTTCTTAAAAATTCCGTTTGAGTTCATTATCTTATTAAAACAAGAAGCGAGCATTGCTCTGATCAGTTTTTTCCAATAACATTATATTTATGAAATAGAGACTGAAATATAGAAACGATTTTTTTTTTAATATTAGCAGATTTAAAAAAAATAATATTTCTTTTATTTTTTAACATTCCAACTAAGTTCTAGGATTGTGCTATGATATGGTTTACGACAATAGTTGAATGGCGGGATTCGAACCTCCGACCTCGTGATCGGAAATCCGTACCCTTAACCATTAGGCTATTGACGCTTAACGTGTGTATGTGTGTGACACTTACTTACTAATATAAATGGGAATGTTTGGATGGATGGATGTCTGAAGTTATCTCAAGAGCGGTTGCATGGATCTTGCTTAAATTGGTATAGATGTATAGTTAAACACATTGGCTACTTACTTATTAATTTTTTTTTAATTCCACACGGTCGAAGTCGCAGGCGACAGATAGTACTTTA